TGTCCAATAGTCTACAGATGGGCTTTGGGTCTCCTCTCTGACCGCCATCATTTGCATCAACATATTTGTTTGTTTGGGGTCTTCTGATGCCTGATACTTGATCCCATCGACACCTCATGATCACACAGGCCAGTATGATTCTTCTATGTGGCCTCGTTGCTTCTCTGCTAGGTGGCTGCTTGTTTAACTTCAACCTTTAAAATTCCAGAAGCTATATCTTTTAATAGCCAGGCACCAACAGATTTCTTCACATTTGCTTATACACCCATTTTGACTTCAGCAATCCTGTTGGGAAGGTGAGATCACAGAATGCCAGGTTATTAGAACAAAGCGTTCTTGCATTAAGGGAGTACTTGAGTAGAGACCCAATGCCTGTCTGTTACCTTAATACTTAAAATTTAAATATATGTACATAGACCTATACCCCTATTAAATATTAATATATTTACATATGTGCATGCCCATATTTGTACTTTTGTCAACGTCTTTTGCCTCCTAGTTCTTTCCTTTATTTCTTTTTACTTTCCTCCTGTCCTACTATCGTGTTTGACCTGAATTCAGCTCTCAGTACTTTCTCTCAGCTACATTGCACTTGATCAAACCCTACCAGGCATTCTACGCCTTTCTCACCATCGAGTTTAGATCTCTTGTAGTTCCCTTGTCTCTGTATTTGTTGGCTTCCCCCTTCCTTTTACAACCTTCTCATCGACCATTTTCCCCTGGAGCTGTCGGCCCTGTTATTTTTCTCCTCGAGATTGGTTATCCTGCTTATCTTATATGAATAGATATGAGAAAAAAAAAAGAAAGAAGAAAGACAGTCTATAAATATTTCCAGGTCTGTCTGCTGACCTTCTGGTAGTTTTCCACTCAGACCTGGTGAAGTGCCACACTCTGTCCACCAATTCCAAAATCTATTTTTGGATTCCTTGGGACTTCATTGCTCTTCTCCCCTTGCTGCTCTGTTGCGCTCCCTTCATGTTTCACTTGGTGTGGGTGGGTCAACCAGGCACAATACCTCACTGTGTCTGCAGTGCTGTCCCTGTAGCACTGTGAGTCAGTGAGGGGGCATTGTGTCTTGTGGTAGGGCCAGCCCCACAGTCCTTGCTGTGCATTGGCTGCTCTGAGCAGGAATATCCTCCTGGTGGCTTGGAAGGCAAGGATGCAGTCCAGTCTCTCTAATAGCAGTGATGCATGCATTAAGCTATACTTTTTCATGAACTCTACTGGTAATTAATAAGAAGCGCTCAGGAGAATATTGTATGCCAGGCCTATTCATCTTATCCATATGTGGTAGTAGCATCCCAATGGCTCTTTGGTATTCACAATCAGTCCGCACATCTCTTATTTGCTTGTTGGTGTTCTGACATGAGCAGCCTCAATGGCCAGGTAGCAGTCTCAACTTAACAACTTAATAGAACCATTGTATGTCATTGGTGGAAGCGTCCCACCACTGGAAACTAAGAGTCTGGATGAGCCCAGTGTCTTGTGGTCCAGAGAAAATTTTGCTTATGGAGCAATGGGGATAATCATGATGAGAGAATTAGATATTAGAGAAACTGCCCTATATTTTTCTGCTTTTGGTCATATAGTTTTTCTAAAGCCATTTTTTTCTTTTCTTGAAAGACGTTGTGACCCAGTTGGTAGCATAACAGTGCTTTAAAGGTCATTGCACTGTCCCAGCAGGTTGGCTGATCCAAGGTGATGGAGAACAAATCTACAAAGCCTCAGTCCATGAATCCCCTAAGCACACAAAGAAATCCCAGAAGTGCCTTCCATCCTTCACTTGTTATAAAATGTGTCAATTGGCCAGAAGCAAAGTTGTATGGAATTCCATGAGTATTCTGTATCTTCATGGAAGGATAAGTTTTGGCAGAACATCATGGAAAGAGAAGGCAAACCCATATCAAGGGGGCCTAATCCAACGAGAAAGAACAAACTAGAACCTGTGAAAATGAACTGAAATCCATAAGAGAATGTATTCAACGTCCAAGTTTTGGACTTCCACCTTCAGTGATGGAGGTGTATTCTGTGATTCAGATGCAAATTCTTCATCACAGAGATACCTAATAATCTGACCTTGCATTCCAAGGAGCTGAATAAGAAGCTTTGGTGGAATCTAAAGTTGTGGGCTTAGATCCTGCTCCACATCAATAAAAAGGACCAGCACATATCAACACTGCATTCAAGTAATAATAATGCCTAACCTAACAGCACTCTTCCAAGCATAAATAGGACGACTGCTTTACTTGATGCTTTAAAATATTAACCACATTGTGTGTGTGTGTGTATGTGTGTGTGTGTGAGTGATGAACTCTGGTCCAGAGCTATACAAGATAGTTCCTGTTATGTCGATACAATATACAACCACACAGGGAATCCAAATATGTAAGATTGAGAGAATGAATTAATGAATAGGAATGGATGAACTTCTAACTCTTTACCTTAGGTTACTTTTTGCCTCCATTTTTTACCCAGCTTGTTTTAGGCCAGCAGCTTAGCTTGATCACTTAGAGCCCCAATCCAAAATCCAATAGTATAGCATATGTGAAGAGCAAGTAAGACAATCATTGAGGACTAAATGGAACTGTCATTAGACATGAGAAAGTCCTCAGAAAGAAAATGAGGAAATCTGGGCTCCGGAACTGGTTGGATTCCAGCTGATGAGTGACCATGGGGGGAAAATGGTTTAGCTGAGTAATTCATGTACCAGTTAGTTTGATATTCGGTGATTCTTTTGGTTATTTTCAGAGGTAGAATCCTAGACAGCTAGTTTCAAATGAGAAATTCTTGGAGGTCATGTGATGTTTGGCCCTTGATACTTGGGAGGTGGCCAGGTGGTGATGTGTACCTGCTACTCTGGAGGTGGCAGGTAATTCCCAACTACCTTTACCACCACCCACAACCTCTTTAAGTTCCACTTTGGGAGTGTGGGGTCCTACATCCCTAGACACTCTGAGAGTGCAGGATGAGCCATGAGTGTGGAGGAGTGGGCCACATTGTGGGTATTCACCTTAATGCCAAATTTTGCCTATCACCTGATTTTTGGAACCTGGGTTGGTCATAAAGGAGGACGGTTTATACATTTACATTGAGTTGATTCTGACTTAGAGCAAGCCAATAGCACAGGGTGGAACTGCCCCTGTGTGGCTCTGAGACTGTAAACTCTTTACAGAAGTAGGAAGGCTAGTGGTTTGAACTGATAACCGTGGAGGTAGCAGCCCAATATGTAACCACTATGCCACCAGGGCTCATTCCAGTGTTATTGGGTGATTTATTGTATGTCAGAAGATAACAATATGAAAAAGTGAATTCCGAGATTGCTACATCCAAGATATTCATCAATATCTTAATAGTTTAAAGGCAGTCCTTAGTTTGTTATATCTTTATTTGGCAGGTTTTCTAAGTTCAGTGGAGGAGGGAGAGTTTGATTGACATTCTATCATGCTGTAAATGTAACAGCAAAACCCATTGCCTTCTATCGGATTCTCAATAATAGCAACATTATCAGCAGAGTAGACATGCTCTCTAGGACACCCAAGGCTATAAATCTTTACCAAAGCAGAGCGCTAGGTCTTTTCTTCAGCAGCGTGGCTAATTTAGAACCACACAACTTTCACTTAGCAGCCGAGCTTTAACCATTGCACTACCAAGGATCCTGTAAATAGAACAAGAAAAGAATGCACTGTCATAGTTACTCCTATATATGAATCTAAGTGAATTCAGCACAATATAAAAGCCCACAAATGTATATTAGTATCTCTTCTTATAGGCGTTATGATGTTTTAAAATGAACTTAGCTGAACCTCAATTTTACACATCTAGATGGCTGTGTAAAGATCAACTATCAGACTATTTAGCATTTAGTGTAGTTGGTTTATAGTAAGGGCGAAAAAGTAATCCGATAAACAATATAAATTCCCACACTTATTATCTTAACACTAAAATTAAAGCTTAAAATATATTTACAAGTGTGAATATCAGTAATGGTGATATTACCCTAAAATATTCAAGTTTATGTCTAAACCATTCCTGCCATGACCACAGTATCATAGCCATTGCTGTCTTCAGAGGACTTCAAGCTGAAGAAGATAATAAATCAAGCCAGGGTTGATTCTGCTCTCCAACTCCTAGAATTAGTTCTGTAACTTATGGGGACACTGTTTGACCCTTTCTTGGATTTTGTTGTTAGGCACTGTTGAGTCAGCGCCAACCCATAGTGACTCGATGCACAACAGACTGAAACCCTGCATGGTCCTGTGCTATCCTCCCAATTGTTCCTATGCCCAACCCCATTGATACACCACTGGGTCCATCCCGCCTGTTGAGGGCCATCCCTTCCCAGCTGCCCCTCTCCATTACCCAGCATGATGTCCTTCCCCAAGGACTGGTTTCTCCTGCCATCTTGACTTTTGCACCCATATAATAAGTTACTTAATTGTAAAATGTGGAGAACAATAGAAAACCAGGTAGTGTTGCATCCTGTTGTACTTAGGGATGCTTGCTGTGAGTCACAACTCACTTGACAACCCCTACCAGCAACAACCATCTTCAGATCAGATGTCTGGGCTACGTGCAGCCTGCTCTCGGTCTCTGTGAAGAGCCACACATATCCAAACTGGAGCCGCGACTCTCATTTCTACCTCTGACTTCAATTGAATCCTGTGTGAACAATCTGGAGAAGGCTACTTCGAGAGAGGGGTTTCCGGGAAGACTGATGACCACGGATCAAATTAAGACCACGTCTGATGTTTATAGAGGCCAGCGAAAAGCAGGAAAATGGAAATTACTTTCAGATATTCCTAATATGCACCAGGTTTGAGTTGGGAGCCTACCAATCAGAGGTTCCGTATCTTATTACTCATCACTTGAGTCACTTGTTCCCCTTGTTGTTTAATTAACTCCTGTTATTTTATGTTTTTCGAATGTGTCCACTTAAGTATAGGAAATGATGATTTTCATTCAAACCTTTAGCTCTTTTTCTGTGCTCTTTTCTCTTAAAGGGACGCAGATCTGTTCCTGTTAGACACGAGAAAGGCCCAAGCTTTCCATGTGGGTTGGCTTGTCTTTGACATCACAGTGACCAGCAATCATTGGGTGCTTAATCCACAGAACAATTTGGGCTTACAGCTCTGTGCAGAAACAGGGGACGGTAAGCTGTGAATTACATATATATTTCTTGAAGGGTTTATTTAACAAGTTGAGGGGTGTGTGTGTGATTAAATTAGTGTATGTATTTTGTCTTACATGGAATAGTGTAATAGATTAGTTAATAAAGTTCTTGACATATTTATAATGACTTTAGGTTTTCAGAGATTAAGATTCTGTTTCTATTCACAAGGGCTTTAAGTCTAGTGTGAGAGGTCTGTATGCAAATAAATAGTGTTGACGTTAATATAACGAATAACAAAAGAAGTTTCTATACAAAGTACCAGGCTTCTTTCTATGTTTTGATTGTGTTGGTGGTTATCCAATTAACTTATCAAAAGTTATATAGCTGTACATTGATGCTGGGTGAATGTTACTATGTCCACATATTTCAAGAACAAAATAACCAAGAACTGTATACCAAAAACCCATGTTACATAGAAAGAGATGAAGGGGCTGCAAGTAATTCAGAGGGGAAGACCCATGTGGGTACAACTAGAGTCATAAGACGTAGTACAGACTAAATCATGCTGAGTTATGTCTTAAAACATTTGCAATATTTATTCAAAGAAAATTACTCCCGTATCGCCTTTGAAGAGAATGGTAGGGAATGTGTATTTCTACACAATTTCCGAGGCAATCCTTATGCTGAGGTTATTCATAGAGCAACTACTGTATTCTGTACACTTGGTGAGGCACCAGAAATACAGTGGTGAGAAAATTAGAGTATGGCTTCAGGATGCCTGTATAACATCAGTGAGGCATTCAGTAGCACGACCCTAGTTCATGCTAGTGAACACAGAAGAGAGCCCAAGGAAGAAACCAAATGCCATTCTTGTAACTATAGAACAATGAGGGAACTTGAAACTCTTTCTGAAATTAGGAGGGTACAATTCGCAAAGAAGATGGATAATGGGTAAGAGGAAGACTATTTCAGAGAAAGATCAGAATCTACAATGGTTCATCCATTCCTCTTCACTGCGGTGTACTAAATCCTCAGTCAACTACAGGGTTAAGTGGAGTCAGTCTGTCGTGGACCTCTTTCAGTTGCACTCGTTGCTCTAAGAAAAAAAAGGCTTCACAACGTTATCTATAATCAGCTTCACAGCCTAAGGAACTATCATAACCAATGTTTTAATTCCAAGTATTGTATATATGAAATGAGGGTGAAAGACACACATTTAAGTTTATTACACAATGAGTCTAGAGAAAATTTTAGGCACTCCGATTTCCATCTTGGGAAGAAAAAGCCCTCCCAAAACACCTCTTACTGAAAGCGTTATAGATGGTGTTCCGGACTTGTATCTCCCAAACAGAGACTTCTCCACAGATTTTAATTTCCATGCTGAGTTTTTGAACTCTTTATAAACAATCCAAACAGTATGAATGGTAAGTTATTTTCCCATGATGGCTTTAAGATGATTGTGACGGTTTCTCCAAGCTCAGAAAGTCTAAGTGTAGACGCAGAAGTGCACATGTTTAAATAATCTTCCAAGAATTCTTACAATGTTAAACCACTGTACATTTATGGTTAGAAATCTGACTGGGAAATTGGCACTGTGAGGGAGAGGCTACGCCCCCTCTACACCCCCGGGTGTGTGACTCAAATAAGACAAAAAGTAAACCAGTGGTCTGCTTCTCCTTGGGCTCTCCTTGGGGATATGCTTGAATGGCTACCTAAACAACTCCAGAGCCCTATGAACTACGTCCAGCCAGCGTCCTTGTCATTGTCACCCACTCTATCCATATCAACATTCTGAAGGCTCTGTTGATGTCCCCCTTCACTTGTCTTGCCCTGCTCTTTTCTCTTCTACCTATGTAATTGAACTTCTATTTCCTTCCCATCTGGTTTTTCTCTCTGAGAACTGTTCTGTATTTTGAGTTTCCTCTCTCCCAGATTTATTTCACGTATGTTTCGAAAGGAGACCTGGTGGTGTAGTGGTTATGTGCTGGGCTGCGATCTGCATAGTCGACACTTCGAAACCACTACCAGCAGCTCCTCGGGAGAAAGATTAGGCTTTCTACCAGGGGATCTCCATGAGTCATCATTGACTCATTGGCAGTGATTTTAGTTGTTTTGTTTCTTTGTTGTATTTGAAATAACAACTTTTACCATAAATTACTATTTTTGTATTTATGAGGGCTTCCTCTTCATTCTTTGTGCTTTTCTGAGCCTAAAATTAACTATTTTTTGCTAAATTATCAAATTATTTTACTTATTGCTTAGGTTTGCAATATCCAACCTCAGCACTGCTTTTTGTTGCTTCTTTGTCTTTAATGTTTTCCAGTAGGAAAAATCGTAAAACAATTACATTTCCAAGCTAGCTGGCTATGGATAATACCATTTTTAAATAAATGGTGGACAGGTTTCAAGGAGCTTTCAGATAAGATAGGAATAGGGATCTAATCTATTCTGGGGGGCGGAGGGGAGGGTGGGTAGTGAAAATCTTACCAATAGCAGTGGAACATTGCCTGATTTAGTGATAGAAGATGAGTCTTTCGGATTGAAGGGCATTCAAAATCTGATAGGGAAGAATTTAGTCCTCAAAGAAAAGGCGAGCTTAATGAGATGGGTGGAATTAAACTTTCATGACATATGTTTAATGACGTTGGATAACTCAGAATGAGAGCAGCTGAAAATATCCCTGGGTAATCAAAACGTGGATCAGAGGAAGTGCGATTCTGGGAAACCAGAAGCAGGCACAGATGAAATGGAACACATGAAGAGCAATGTCTTTGGAAGTAATGAGGCGAAATAGAGGGATATTGGCCATTTTTAATCAGACAAACATGGTATACTATAGAGGAACAACAAATTGAAGAGGAATGGCATGCCATTCTTAGTGACCAAGAACATTTTTAAGGTCTATTACATAGTACAAGACTGCCAGGGATAGGGTAGTATCTATTAGCCTACACGACAGATGAATATTCAAACTTCTATACCAATCACTAATGTCAAAAATGAAGAAAGTGAAGATTTGAACCAACTTCTGTAGCCTAAAATTGATGAACTGTGCAATGAAGATTATTGACAATTACTGGAGAAATGAAACAGAAAAGGATCAGGAGTCGGAATACATGGTCTGGAACCATATATCAGAAGCGATGCTGGAGTTCTCATGATAGGATCTTCATTGTAAATATCTCTTATCAGAAACACAAATGGAAAATATAAACATGGATATCACCGGAGGGAATATGTTGGCTTCATATAGACTACATTTGTAGAAAAAGATCATGGAGAAGTTAAACATCATCAGTCAAAACTTGGTCATGGTCCTACTGCAGAACAGAGCATCCATTGCACATGTGCAACTTCAAGTTGAAGTGGAAGCAAATTAAAACAAGTTCCATGACAGACAAAATACTACCTTGAGTATATGCTACCTAACTTAGATCATCTCAAGATAAATTTGACACACTTAACACTAAAGGCCAAGGCCAGGGCAAGTTGTGGAATGAAATCAGGGACATCTTATAGGAAGGAACCAAAAGGTCATTATAAAGACAAAAAGGAAAAGACCGGAGTGGATGTCAGACAAGACTCTGGAAATTACTGATGCAGATGAAAGACTGCAACCTTCAAAGTTGACTTATAATGAAGAAAACAAAATTCCTCATAACTATATCAATCAACAATATCATAACAAATAAAGTATTAAAATTGCGAAGGATTCAATTTTGTCTTAGATCCACAGTCAATGCCCATGGAAATATCAGTCCAGAAATCAAACCACTTATTACTTATTACTTATTACATCAGCCACAAAAGACCTCTTTACAGTGTGAATAGCAAAGATGTCCCGTTGAGGAATGAGTTGCACTTGACCCACGGCATGATTTTCACCTACTTCAATATGCATGGGAAGCTGGGCAATGACTAAGGAAGACCAACGAAGAACTGATGCATTGTCAATCTGGTGCCGATGAAGAAAACGCCGGAAGAACAAACAAATCTGTCTGGGAAGAAAATGCACTGTTCTTTAGAAGCATGCGAGTAGGAGGGACAAGTCTCTGGAGAAAGAGGTAATCTTTGTTAGAAGGTCAGCAAAAATGAGGAAGATGCTCAACAAGAGAGAGATTGAAACTGTGGCTGCAAGAATGGGCTCAGACACCCCAATGGTGCGGCCTGTGCAGGACCAGGTAGCATTTTGCTCTGTTCTATATGAACTGGAATTGACTTTGTGGAACCTAACACCAACAGCAAAGAAAATCAGATTTTAACCAGAGGCAGTGCATACAAAGCCACTGCCTTAGTTTTATGAACTGCAACCAGAAAGAAAACGTAACTGTGACATTTTTCTATGTATATCCCTAGACCGATACTTCAGTTTATTATGGTTTACTAAGGAGCTCAAACCACCAACCATAGGAGAGAGGTGGGGCTTCCTACTTCTATAAGGAGTTACCATCTCAGAAACTCACGGGGGTTGCTCTATCCTGTCCTACTGGGTTGCTATGAATTGGCATTGGCCCGATGACAGTGAGTGTGTTTATCGTCTTATCATGGTACAGCTAGGTATTGGGATGTTAACCACAAGGTCTGCAATTGAAATCCAGCAGCTATTTCATGGTATAAAGATGATCTATCTTCTCCTTTAAAGAAACCCTATAAAGGGTCTCTGTGCATTGGAACCAACTGATGGCTATGGGTTTGGTGTTGTATATGCAAGACTGTCTGCCACCTAACTTAAAACCAAAAATAGTACAGTTCTTTAGATGATGAAAATGGTGATACAAGGAAGAAATGAAGGGCACACAGAGAAGGGGTGGGTATTTCCAAATTGGGGCAGAGTCAAAGGGCCCATCACAGAGGCTTTTAAAAGGACTTTTAAGCTAGCTCGGTTTATGCAGAAATGTCACAGCTGGAGAGCTTTAACAAATAACATTTTATTTTCACTCACTTCAGGGGACTGCAAGTCAAAGTTCAGGATACTGGCTCTAGGGAAAGCCTTTTTCTTCCTGTATGCTCTGGAAGATCCTCGCTGAGTTTTATTTTTT